AAAAAAAAAAAAAAAAAAACATACAGACGAATTGAGTACCTCCTTCTTTTGGGAAGTCGGTCAAAAAATAATATGTTCTCTTCCTATCGAAGCCCAAAACCTCCATAACATAGAACCTTGATGACTTAAATCCTCTATAACTTAAAATATTTTGTGTTTCCCTTGGACTTTAACTTATCGAGGTTCTACTGTATTATAAATGAAAATGTTTAGATGGATGGATGTTTGTTAGAGTTTGTAGCCTAAACTGCTAAACAGATCTCAATTTTATTTGGTATAGATGTAGAGGGTAGTTTGGAAGAACACATGGGCCACTTGGTTTTGTTTTTTTAATGCCATGTGGACAGAGTCGCGGGCGAAAGCTAGTATGTTATAAATATATTGTTCATATTTTTAACCCTTTAACCCCAATTTGATAGTGCCCAGCCTGTTGAACAAGTAATAAAAAAATCTACTAAACAATGTTATTTCATATCTAAAAAAATGACTATTGAACACCAGTTTTTTTTTTGTTACTGAAATATCACCATAATTAAGGGTTAAATTCCAAAGATGGTTCCGGTAAGATTTTGCAGTAAATTATTGATTGCTGTTTTACAAGAGAAGTAAGATGAGTTTTATATAAAAAAATTCTAAATGATACAGCTGTTTCCAAGTTGTAAAATAATTAAAAACTGAAAACTTAGACATGACTTAATATATTTTAACTAATATGTCATATTTTCTTTTCTTTTCTTAACATTTCGTGAACTATAATTTCAGATTATTCTAGTAGATGATGCAAGTGATAGAAAATATTTAGGTAAAGAATTGGAAGATGCTGTAGAGAAACTGAAAAATGTACAAATTTTGAGAAGTACACAGAGGAAGGGTCTTGTTGGAGCTCGGTTGATGGGTGCTAGATCTGCTATAGGAGATGTTTTAGTATTCCTAGATGCACATTGTGAGGTAATATATATTTAAATCTATACTAATATAATAAAACGTAAACACGTATCTATTACGTAGGATGTTAATTAAAAGGATTTTTGAAAAACTACTTTTGAATGAAAGGCCCTTACTTATTTAATTTAAATGTAAGAATTGTCATGTAAAAAAAGACAAAAACTACAAGCCAATAGCAAAGAAACAAGATTACCATGATAACGGCCAATGGAAAAAACCTCCGTTGTCATTTAAGCATTTGAATTTTATTTCTCAATGAATGTTTCACGAAATGTAAACAATAAATTAAAGTATTCATAATATCATGCAGATTAAGTTACACGCGAACAGCTAATCTATAGTAATATTATAAAGAGGAAAGATTTGTATTTTTGTATGTATTGAAATAACTCAAAAACTACTGGTGAGATTTTTAAAATTTGTGCACCATTGAAAAGCTATGTTATCAGTGATTATTATTATTTATTAATTCCAGCCAGAGAAAGTCGCGAGCAACAGCTAGTATATGATATTTTTTCAACCTGATAAAGAAATGTATATTTGAAACCTTTCCTATTTCCAGGTAACACCGGGATGGTTAGAGCCATTGTTAGAAAGAGCTGGCAGTGATGATGTTTTCATTTGTCCTCATATAGATCTTCTGTCTGAGGACACTTTTGCGTATACTAAAAGTATCGACGCCCACTGGGGCGCGTTCAGTTGGCGCCTACATTTCCGTTGGCTGATGCCCAGCACTGAGGTGATGAAGAACAAAGCGGAACATCCTTCGAAACCCTACCCTTCACCTGCAATGGCTGGAGGTCTTTTTGCGGTCACGAAAAGTTTGTTTTGGAGACTGGGCGGGTATGATGAAGGTATGATGATTTGGGGTGCCGAGAATTTGGAACTCTCCTGGAGAGCATGGCAATGTGGGGCAAGAGTTGAAATAACACCATGTTCGCGTGTCGGTCATATATTTAGAAGACATAGCCCTTATAAATATCCCGGTGGAGTGTCTAAAGTGTTGAATTCCAATTTAGCTCGAGCGGCAACTGTATGGATGGATGAATGGGCAGATTTCTTTTTTAAATTCAATCCAGCGGTCGCGGTGATACGTGATGAACAAAATGTAGGAGATAGGGTGCAGTTGCGTGAGGATTTGAAATGTAAGAGTTTCGAATGGTACTTGAATAATGTTTGGCCTCAACATTTCTTTCCTACTAAAGATAGATGGTTTGGTAGGATACGTAATGATAAAGGTTGTATAGGAGTTATATCGAGCACTCCAGGTTTAGGAGGACCCGCGTCAAAAGTGCACTGTGGTAGTGATTTAGATCTAGACAGTCTCATAGTATACACTCCTGAGGGAAGGATAATGGCTGATGAAGGTTTATGCTTGGAACAAGGAAATGGTAGAGCGGTATGGAAAGGTTGCAGCGATAATAGGAAACAAATTTGGAAACAGAAAGGTCCGAGATTGAAATCTTTCGATGGTCTTTGTTTAACGTCTGTGAAAAATCGCAGTTCTGATGTAACTGACAATCCTTTGACTTCTAAGAAATGTGTTAAAAGTGATGAACAAATATGGCATTTCGAAAGAGTTCCCTGGAGATGAAATTATTTTCAATACACAGAACATATCTATCAAAAGGTTGTAGTGCATTATTAATTATTTGCAACTTGTATTACTTACTTTTAAGTTATTATTAATACTTAAAAGAAACTTGATATTATTTGTTATTTATAAGACTGTTGAAGCAACTATGTTAATGCAATATTCATTAAAATAGACTGATTTTCTTATACACAATTTTATGTAGTTTTGAATGCTGACTAACTGTTGTGTGTAAAATATACTAAAGGTGGGCATTAACCATTAATTAACGTAGTTAACAATCTGTTAAATTAAATTGAATTAAAAAAAAATTATATTCCAAAAACGGTAATAATAGGTTACAAGGAATAGAGTATTCGGTATAGATGCAATATTTTGCTATATTCTGTGGCGAACTATGTTCAATTTCGCGCTTCTGTACATAGATAATAGTGACTGGCTGGTTTCATTATTATTTTATGACACAAAAGGGGTAGTTAAATATTCCTCTCTGGTTCAGTACGGCGCGGGCGTGTCGCGAGGTGAGGCGGTTGTCAATTTACGCCCTTGGTTATCGGAAGTGGTTGGGTTTCGGGAATTGTGAAAAACAATTCGGGTGTGGAATTTGGTTGTGAGGAAGGTGCTCTTAAATTCGGTTTCGCGTTCGGTTCGATAACGACGCAATCTATACGCGCATAGGTGAAGTGGTGTAGACTTATGACAAGTCTTGACTTGTTTTGATTGACACTAACATTGACCAAGCATTGAACAGAGCATCAAGTTGGTAAGTGCCACTTATGCATCATCCTTGTTTATAATCTTATCCCCCCGTTGCATGCGTCTGCCAATCACTTATTTCACTCGACTCAAATTGAATGTTTGTTTTTAAATATTAACTTTAAAATGTTAATTTTAATTTGCGCTATTTTAATCATAACGCTTTAACGATTATCGAATTTAAGTTTTTAATTGACTGCCTTATTGATGATATGATTATCTTAAAACAAGAATCTCAGTGTCTCAAATAAATTGTTCTACTATACGTAGTTTATACTTTTTTTAATGAGATTTATTTGCATTTTTATTTAAATAAACACGGAATAATTAAGTACATACAACTGTGATGTTCTTAGGTTATGTAATAATATAAGCAATACAATAAAATATTGTTAGGTAAAGAATTCCATTAGTTTAAGACAGTAAGTGTACAATTTATTAAGGTATGCAATATTATTTAATGTCTTTGGCAAGTATAAAAAGACAAACAATGTTTTCTCCTTTTTTCTTTTTTGAGACTTTAAAAGCGTATTCTGCCAGCATTTTTTTATGTCTCATTTACTTGAGTATTCTTATCCATGAAGTTTCCAGTCCTCCTTCTGTTGTGTCCTCTTGACCTCCAGATACGATACGACGCCCACTTTCTTTTTTATCTACCACTATAGTTTAAAATAGGAGTTGCTTTTAATAATTTTATGGCTTGATAATGAAAGTAAATTGTTAATATTTCTGTTAGCTAGTTAGAAAAAAATTATATGAATTGAATATTTCTACTGCCAATTTCGAGTGCCTTGCGTTTATAAATTACACTGAGATTTTATTAGTGATAATTAAATTAGTATCTAAAGGAAATTTAGACATAATGACATTAATCTGTGAATGATATTTATTATTATATTAAATTTAAATACTTGTGATTTAAAGATACAGAGATATTGCACAATTTTTATTGCTATAAAATGTAGAGTTTTTATTAAAGTTTAAAAAATATATGCAAAATGAAATTTTGTTCTGAACTTAGTTACAAAGTTTCAATGGTGTGATTGATTACAATATCTACTAAAATGCAATTTAAATGTTTAACTTTAAGTTTAAATGACTTGTTTTTAAACATAATTTAAGTTAACTGTGTTTTTAAAGGGGACTTGTACCAAGATGTCGTTCCAATTTAATTTTAATTTTTTTTTTATTCTTTATACACTGATATCACTTAAATATTATTATCACATTTTACGTAATTTACTTTGCCGATTTTGAGTTTATTTTTACGTACTCTGAACTATTTTCTAGTCTAAATGTAATCTCTAACTGATTTTATAAGACTTTATGTAATTCTCTTTAATCTATGAATAATATTTTGTAACACAACAGGGATTTATGGCACAAAATACTAATTAATATACATTTAATTAAAAATAAAAAATTGCAACCATGTTAAATTGTATTTCTTTCATATAAAAAGTCTTAGTAATAGTAAGTTATTAAATATTTTCATCATTCACCTTAGAATGTAATATAGAATTAAAATGGTGGTCGGTGTTGCTATCGCGAGATTTGTCCGTGTGGCTGAATTGCAATTATTCCGGTTGCAAATAAAGCAGCTCGCGTCACTATGGCCGCGGGCGCGCTCTACGGCTTCTAGAGCGAGACAGACTGAATCGACCTGTGCACGTGGCACGCAGCCACGAATAATATCCACAGTGTTGCCAACTAAAAGGAAAAAAAATTAAATCACAACAGTAGGCAATCTGATTATTGTCTATTTTTTCTTAATTAATGTCGACTTACATGATTTATCATCTGGTGTTGCTACCATTTTTAAGCATCGATATTCTATTGGTACTTTTGAGTCTGTCGATGGTGGTGGATGTCCTATATTGTGCACCCATTGTGCGGACACCCAGTTCGAAGGATGACACTCTAAGGGTGTGCCCGGCCATACAACCTCTTGAGGATGGCAGCTAAGACATCGCTGGTAGAAGCAGCTTTCTGGAGAAGCTATAATGTAAGTATTTTTTTTAAATTACATAAATATTTTTTATATGTAAAAAGTATAAAATATACTCTTACTAATATTGCGAAGGTTTGTATGTTTTATTATTTGTGTCTTAAGCGTCTGAACGGATGTAAAGCATAGTCTGGTAGAGCACATAGGCTATTTAATCATTTCTTTGAATACGCGCGGACGATGCCACGAGCGTCATTATGTCTATAGTAAATCAGATAATAAAAACTTTTTTGGGATACTATTGATCTGTTAAAATATATAACTTTTTAAGTGATTTATTGTACATCTTTATTTAGTTAATTGTATGTTTAGTAGGTGGTTATTTAAGTGTTGATTGATTTACTTCGCAGCAATAAACTTTGCGAATGACGCAACATATTTTCTTTACACTGTTTTTTCTGCGTAACTGACCACCGGGTCTGTTGGAAGGATCGTGATCGCAGCGAATAATGCGTTCGTTTGTTTTAACAGTCGCAATCATATGTAATTTTGTCGCGTTTTGCACGATTTTATCGGCCATCAGCCTGACAACGTTCTGATACACTCGCGCTTTCAGCGCAATTAATAACAAGAAATGTACCGGCTGTCCGTCGGTATGTCGCTATAAGAATCTTCATTAAAATTTATTATGTATTTTAAATGGCTGTAATTAACACTGGTTATAATTATGACAATTGTTAAGAACATGTGGACATGTCGCTTTATGAAAAAACTGAACATTGTAAAGGCTCTACAGATAAGTTTTTATAGCAGTTGAAGGCAAATCTTTCACTTGTGGTACATTAATTGAAAGTATAGTATTTTTCTTTTTTTTTTTATTTATTTCTTTTTTTTTATTTTTTTAGATTTGTATATTTGTATGTATTGAAATACCTCAAAAACTACTGGGCCGATTTCTAACATTCTTTTACCATTAGAATGTAGCTAACATTGTCTCTGAGTAACATAGGATATATATAGAAAATTTCAAGTGGACGAAGTCGTGAGCCACAGCTAGTATTTTATGAAAATGTTACTTCGAGAAAAGGATGATTCGTCCGTGTTCGATGAGTGATTATTTATGACAGTAAAGCCGGAGCTAGTCTTAGTTGCTGGTGTAGGTGATGTGTGGTAGAAGCGAGACGTTAAGGTGGTCCGTGGTCAATCCATGCGTAAGAGGTCGGTCAAGCGCGGCGCGAGAAAGTCAATGATGGGCGGCCGACATAATTGTGCATGCTTTGAGCGTCTCTACTGTAACATTATATTAAAGAGTATGCTGCTCTGCCATTATTGATATACTAGAAACATATAATAATACGGAGTTGATCTTTGTACACTTTTTAAAAAAAAATTACCTTATCCATCTTTCAACACCAAACCTTTTTATAACCTCTATAAATGCTTTAAAACTTAGAATATTTTTTGGCTTTTTAAATCGATTAATTGAAATTTCGTAATTTGTGTTTTTATGGAGGACTTTAAAAGTCATCACAACAATGATGAGTAACAGCTGTTGATATTTCTATTTATTCTGTCTATAGATATCATCAGTTATCGCAATCGCGGCACTGACCTGGATTCAAAACAAGTGATGTTCAGTGTACAAAAAGTCCGGCCCACACGGTGTCGTGCCGACACAACAGTCCCTACCATTATAACAATGTAAATACGATTGTCAACAGCGGATTAAATAAATATTTATTAACCGGTAGTTGCGAGACGAGTTGGGAAGCATTGTGTGCGATGTGAGGCGCGGGCGGCGACCGGACCGCAGGCCCGCAATGATGTAACAATGTTTTGTTTTAAACGCGGATGACTTATACAAAAACTTGTGTACATTGAAATATGTAAATGAATCACAACATAAACAGAATAACTAATCTCTATATATGATAAGCTTACCGTACGATATCAGTCCGGATACGAAAATAACAAATAGGAGCATTTTTTTACAAGAAAACAGTCGTAAGAACGCGGACAGTGTTAAAAGCACGTGCGCTCCGTTAGGACGTCTTTTATCGAACTAATCTGCAGCGGTCTTTATCTTCCACCTGCGTTTGTCGTTATCATGGCCCAGTAAATTATTTTGACGTTTGCTATGGAAAATAAAGACTATCTTTGGATAATTAGATTGTAAAATCAGAATTTTCCAATATCTAATACATGCGGTATCGTAAACTTAGGACAAAAATAAATCGTGACCTGGTCTCATTTTAGTTAGTCTAAATTTTGACAGTTTGCCGAATAACTTTCGTTTATTAAAATATTATTTTCTTATTACAATAAAATGCTAAACCCAAATACATTTTTGATCTAATAAAAGATCTTACCTACATTATAATTACTTTCACTTGATATTCACAACAGGAGATATATTTAGAATTAAGGAACACATTCAGACGTATGTAGCAATCTCCTAAAATAGGTCAACGATCTGGTCAAGGTGGGAGAAGCTAACTGGCTACGAAAATCATCCAGTATGTAATTGATTTCTAGTAATTTGTCCGTCGTTCGATTATTAGTAGTGACAAAAATAATAGGATTTTTCCATAAAGTCTGATAGTGGGACAATGATTTAAATATATATTTTTTTTATAAATAGGCGATTATTAATTAAAAATGACCTTTAAAAAGACAAAGATAAAGAGATGTAGGTACTTTAATTGCGCTAATGATACGTCCAACATTCAGATCCTTTTTTGTTTGACAATTAAAGTGTAGTCGTGATGAAAACTCATTATACTCAGAATTACTTCAGTAAACTCATGTATAAGTAAATATTGTTAACTAAAATGGTTCTCTAATGAAGTTCTGTTCTGCAATCGAGTGCATTATCAGTATTCTGATTACATTTATATTGTATCAGCCACTTAGTGTAACGATGCGTGGGATTTTGAGATGTTCGCTACCATCAGAGATACGCGTGGGCGATTATAAAAAAATAAGAACTACTCTTTTTAATTAAATTCCGTACAAACATGGTCGTTTACTTTTCGAAGAAGACTTTTTAGGTGATCTCGTTCAACAAGCATACAAACGCGCCGCTTGTTATCAAATCGGAGTGAATGTTTTATTTTATTATTATTGAACAAAAATAGCTATAGTGAACAAACGTTATAATTTACTAATATCATAAATGCGAAATTTTGAATGGATGTTTAATAGAGTTTGTAGCCAAATCTGCTTAACGATTCTCTATAAAATTTGTCAAAAATATAATGGATAGTCTGGAAGAAAGGAGATAGTTATGACCTTTTTTTCTTTCCTACATCGATAGACGTAACTTTGTTTACGATACTTTTTACTTCTTTCACCTTTTTAAATGCCATTAGGGATGTACTAACTTTTATAATATTTATTACTAGCATGCCCGCAACGCTGTTCGTGTGTAATAAAAAAAAAAACAAAAGTAAGTAGACTTTCAGACTATGCTTTACATCTGTGCAATATTTTATCGAGATCCTCTCAGCAGTTGGGGCTAAAAACTCTAACAAACATCCATCTATCCCAACTTTCGCATTTATAATATTAGTAAGATTTATATTAGGAACATCATGAACCAGTAAAGTCCACAGTATAACGGTTCAACAGAAGTGTTCACGAGTCGTGTTGGTATGCAAGAGGTGAGGATGCCTGCGATTGATAACAGACGTCCAGATCTGCAGATGAACTGACTTGTACTGCAGTTGACCGCAAAAGCTTCCTTTTACAGTATTACATTTGGAGCCGTTATCTTTCAATGATAAAGGACTTTTTAAAACTGTAAACATTTATGGAATTAGCTTAAAAAATGCATGTGATAACGTCTTTGTATATAGTAATTATTATTTGACCATTGCAAATGAATTAATGTAAATTTTTTTTAAGGTTTAATTTTTACATAATTTAGTACATTATGTTTGTTAAAATTTTCAAGGTTAGTTTATTGATCTTACTTTTTAATGACCTATGTATTGTATATTTACATATTATGACTACAAGATAATTATTTGAATTAAATTAATAATTGTTTAATTTGTTTCTCTAGTCACTTGTTTTCCCTTCTATTAATTGTGTAAACCCTTAAAAATGTTGGAAACCATGTCATATATTCCGATGTATGTTCGTTTAACTCGTTCTGTTATAAAAAATATCAATTAACTTTATTTGTCCATACATATGTATGTGTTACTCTCTGTGGTATTTTTAATTACATTAAAATTCCTTCAGTTTATATTGATTATAATTTATATCAAATCGACCATCTCGGCTCCGTAAAGGTAAACATAATTTATGTGAACAACTTTTTAAATAACTGAAAGTTTACATAAAATGGCTACTTCCACAGATACAAAAATGTATTATAAATATTAATGTCACGTGTTTTTTTGCTATCTCGGACAAAAATGACGGGAATATTTTTAGTTTATACGTGTAAGAAATTTTATATGTTTTATAGTTTTTAATATTCGTCGCAATATGCGTTCTGTTTTTGGACTTCGTGAATATTTTTCTAAGTGA